ACGCGACCTCAGAGTCCAAAGCAAGATGGCGTGGACGGAGATAGGGCCGAGGGGGGCTCCCCATTTATAGCCCTCGCCCTCTCAAACCGACGGCCCGGATCAAAGCAGATCCAACGGTTAGCGGGCGCCCTAACCGCACGCCTTCTGAAAACCAAAGGCGATTGGCAGTACATCTTCCACGATTAAGGTAGTCGCAGCCGCACGACATTCGGAATTAAAGGCCACCTCAGCACGTCTTCGGAATCCGAAAAGTCAAAGAAGTCAGAAGATCTCCTAATTCCCGCAAATGCATTTATTGAAGACAGTCAATCAAGTTTGAATTTCGGTCAAATCAGTCCATCGCGCTTCATAAACTCCCCGCGCTAAGGCGGTACTCTTAGCCCAAGGAGTGGGGGGCAATTGATGAAGGATGATTTGGCCTGACCTATAAAACGGCGACACATGGATGCTGACTCGGTGTAAGCGACAGTTCAGCATTGTGGTCCAGTACAGCTAAGTGATAGGCCCATAAAGCAGCTCGCTACATGGTAGCGGGGGAAAGGAGGGGATTGCCACAATGCGAGCTCCGGGTCCCCCGAGCTACCTCAAGGGATATTCCGAGGCAAAATTTAACTTGCGAGCTAAGAAAGCCAGCTCGCCCGAGCTCCTGAACAAGGCAAGTCATCCGAGGACCAATTCTATTAAGGGTACTTCTGAAATATTCGAAGCTCGTCGCAAAGTAGCTCGCGAATGGGCACACGAGCATTCCTCAAGAAGCTTCTATTTAATAGACCGTACCAGTCAGACTGGGCCACGTCCCTAACTGACGGCGCAGTCCCTATCCTTTCGATAGTCTGCGCCCACGGCTCTTAGTAGGCGGAGGCGTGCCTGTCACTTTGGGGACGTGTCACTCGCCTGGGTAAGGAGTACGTCCCAGCGGCCACCTGCGCAGCCCTGGCAGGTAACGGTTGTGGCAGGGACCCAGTGGCAGTTATGCCCGATCTCGCAAGAGCGTTCTTATAAAAGCCCTCAAGGCAAAGGAGAAACTTCTTCTTGAGACCTCCAACCTCTCGAATATAGTGATAAAGCGCGACCTCCACTCTTTAGCTTTCATTTCTCTCTTTACTCCCCATACACAGTACTAACTTAAGCATCGGAGTATTCCCACCAGGCAAACCCCCGGAAATCCTTCATTTCATCTTCTCAGGTGCCGCTCGTTGCCAACAAGGAGCCAGTCAGCCACCAGCTAGGAGTGCCCGGATCGCGCCACATCAGAGACCATTAGAGAAAGAATCTTTTCCTACACTTTCTCCTGGCTTTTCTCTCTTCTGATCAGTTCAAAGGTTTCAGCTATTCTGATCTTGAAAAGAAATTTATTAGAGATTGTACACTCCTCTCACTTTGACAATCAGCTCGGACAATCCAGCACTCCAAGACCAGACCTAGATTTCTTACTGAAGTTTGATGGCAGAAGTAGATCATCTCCCAACCAACCACTAGCGGCTGGCACTGGGGGAATTTTTTTAAACAGAGACGGTTCTGTGATTTGGGCTTTCAGTGGCCCAGTTGGTTCTGTAGATGCTTCAGAAGCTGAAATCAGAACTTTGGTGATGGGTCTGAGAATGGTTAAGATCTCTTCATCTGAACTCTGTTCTCATTAAGGGGGATTCCAGAAATGTTATTAATTGCGCTTCCCACCCAGAAAAGGGCCCTTGGAGGTTGGGTCATTTCCTCATTGAGATCAGAAATAACCTCTTCTCTGCATTGCGACTGGCTTTAGATGGATTTCTAGGGAGCTGAACTTAATTGCGGATCTTTTGGCTAAATCTGGGGTGGATAGAATTTTTTTGTATAGTGCTAATGGTTTGCCCCCTTAAGTGGGGTGATTTTATAGTTGTGAGACCCTGATGGTTGTTTGTACATCCCCCCCTTTGCCCCTTTTGAATATAATAGTTATCTTTTCTCAAAAAAAAAAGGCCAAGGTGATAGGATAGACACTTGTACCCTGAAATAAGTATAATAATTGATACCTAATCTATGGTTCTCAGCTACAGACAGGGCTTATGGGAACAGATGGACATAAGGGAACTTTAGCCTTTTATGATATAGTTATCAATTATTATATTTATATTATAATGAAAGAAGAAAAGGGCATAAAAGATAATAAGGAGGTGGAGCAAGGGGAAAAGATAACCCACCAGAAAGATAGACTATTAGTACCATAAAAACAGAAATTCAAGATAACCCAGAAAATTAAATCCAGCCCCCTGCCCCTGGCCCCCCTTGTCCAAAGCCCGTAGGTCAAATTTTCACTTTGAAATTAAGGAATCAAGGTTTCAAGTTTCAACATGCTCCTTTGTAAAAAAAAGGTCATTATCAATGTTGATCCTACTTAACTGGGGTCTTTGCCTCTTTAGGAGGGATGGACTGGATACAGACCTAACCTTTGGGTTTTTTTTTTCACAAAGTGGCTGCTCACGGATCAAACCTGTGCTCTTATACTTAGAAGCCAAAGATTTTACCATTGCACCAAACAATGACCCCTTCAACATATTCCTCATCGCCATTAATAATAATAATTTCTGCATCTTCAACATATTCCTCATCTCCACTAACAATAACAATTTCTGCATTTGATTCCTCATCTCCACTAACAATAACAATTTCAGCATTTGATTCCTCATCTCCTAATGACATAATTGCTTGCCTTCCTTGTTGCAGCCTGATGCTCCTCTTCCTTTAACAAATGAAAGTATTCCTTGGATTTAGCATCTCCCAAGGAAAAAACTACCAATTTCTTTGCTAGAGCGACATGCCTATCTAAGGCCTCTGAGCTCTCATCCCATTCAGCAACTTTTCTCACCCTATCCACCTCCACCACCTCTTCTTCCTTATGCATCATTAAACCAATGGTATTAACTTGATTAGATATAGTGCTCTCACTTTATCGTTCAAAGTCCCCAGTGGGTATCAATTACTCCTCTCAAATTAACAAGCTCCTTCTCGTCTGAAGTATATCAAATAAATATACTGTTTAAGGCCTCTGGGTTCTCAATCATCCAGCTGAGTAGCTTTACTGGATTAGAGCATTTCACAATCAATAATAAATTTTGGTTAAAGATAGAGATAATAAAGTGAAAACAAGGAGAATAGTAAATGAGGAGATTAGTTGAACTACAAAACAAAGAAAAACAAGTCTCGAAGTTAAGCATATAGCAATTCTATAAGCAAAAAAGAAAAATGAAGACTATAAACGAGCATAAAAGTGGTATTGAAAAACCAAGTAATTGACAAAAAAAGAGAGAAAGAAATAAGAAGTCCGATAAAATTTGAGTAACAGAAATCCTAACCTTACAGTTACAGACAGGGTTTTGGGAGGATCTTCTCCGGGACCCAGATCCATGAAACCCAAAGCAGCCCTGCAACCACCTGAATTATAAAACTGGAAATGGCGGGAAGAAGAACAACGTCCTCGTTAGGGTTTTTATGATTTTTATATTTATACTACCACAACTGGGATCACCATTTGCCAATGCCACTCCCATACTAAAATATAATAATAAAAATGGTTGATGATATCAGAGAATCAAAACTGAATAAACGATTTAGATACCGATTAACGTACATTTTTATGTGGAGCACTAGAGCACTTGAGCTCTTTCTCTGAGTCATCACGTAATACTTGTAGCGTTTTACATCGCTTTTTTTGTCATCTCCTGTTCGATGCGCGTAGGGGTGGATTCGAATCTATCCGAGCCGAATACTTGTTTATTTTAGCTCGCTCGTAGGAATAGAATCAAGCTCGACCTCGAGTTCGATTCGAGTTAGAGCTCGCTAGTTTGAGCTCAGTTCAATTCGAGTTCGACTATAAGTGAAGTTTTTATGAAAAAATAAAAATTATATATATATATAATTATTATTTTTTTTTTAGACAAAAAATTAAGAATTATAAAAATTATTTAATATTATATATATAAAATAATTATAAAATTTATTTTTATTTTACATACAAGAAAATAAGAAATATAAAAATGATTTACTATTATACATAAAAAATAAAAATATTATATCAATAAAAATATTATTATATATAATAAAATTATTTATTATATATATATGTATGTATGTAATAAAAATTATTTATTTAATACTAGGCTCGCAAGCCTCATGAGCCGAACTTTATTGGACTCGATTAGCAAACGAGCCTATATATCGGGCTCGAATTCGACTCAAAGCTTGGTTTAAACCGAGCTGAACTGAGCTCGAATAGCTCATGAAAGGCTTAACTCGTGGGCACCCTTAGATGTGCCTCCTTAACATCGCTATCTTACCATGGGATCACTATCAGATCGCTTAAAGGAGCAGAAAGGAAATAAACAAAAAGGGTGGTGACGTGGGCTAAGTCTAGGAATTGCAACGGGGTGGGGTAGTGATAGATAAGTTCCAAGCTTTCAGCGATTAAAGCACTAGTAAAATAATAACAAATCAATTAACAATTATAAACAATTTATGTTTCATGTCTCAAAATGCAAATTTCTCAAATAATTCAGATAATCAACTATGAAGAAAGAAAACATGTGAATAATCATCCATATAATTGGATATTAGATTTATGGTCATTTAATAGTTTAGAAAAAAAGAAATTAATTTTGTTAAGTTTTTTTATCACTAAAATAGCATTACTATTATAAGAAACATCTACATCCAAACAAAAGTCCAAATAAGGAGGTGGAACTCCCTCCCACAAAATGAGCAGGCATATTACTTGTTCTAATAACATATTTTACTTTTAAAAACAAAAAAAGACCAATAATTTTGTCTAGTAGGGCTGTAAGTTAGACTGGGTTAGGTTGGGTTGAGGGCAACTCTAGCCCAACCCTAAGTTCTAAACCCCAACCCAACCAACCCTAACCCTAACTAAATTCCTTCGACCCTAATCCAACCCAATCCAACTCAAAGTCAATTTCGAGTTGGGTTGGGCTCAGGTTGGGCCCAACTCAACATTCTTCCCATCCTTTAAAACCTTATAGAATTTCTCAATTTTAGATCTTAACTCAACTTTTACTACATATATTAATCCTATGTTTCATTAGTATTTGTTTATTGACGTTATTTTTTTTTGTTCTTTTAGTACAAAATTCAGAAAAACAAGTGTTAGAAATGACTATAGTTTATTATGAGTTATGACTTACGATAGGTCTTTCTTGGGCGGCAAACAACATAGAGGAGATGAAGAATAAAATTTTCAAAAAACATAAAATAATGTTATTAAGGTTTTGATATTTTTGATTAGGATTAAGTGGATTGATTATCTTAAAAGAAATACATGATATTATGTGGTGGGGGCTATACAAATATCATGCATCTAAACAAATCAATGTATGTTATATATTACATATAACATATATTTATATATGACATGTACTATAGAGTCGGGTTCAGGTTGGGTCGGGTTGACTAAGGGGTCAACCCTAACCCAACCCAAAGTAAAGTCAGGTTCATGAATTTCAGCCCTAACCCTAACCCGAACATTATATCCAAGAGAAACTAAGAATTTGCATTGAACTCTTCTAAAACACTAAGAGAAACTAATAGAACTTTATTTTCCTTATTGGTTTTTCATTTTTACTCTTTTTCTATTTGTTGGGCTCATAATTATTGAAATGCTTATTTCATATATTTTGAATTATAAAAATGCATATATATATATATATTGCATGTAATCACTAGATAATCATTGATACTTGAGGCTTATGCCTTTTTATGCCTCACACCTTGAGGCTTAAGACTTATGCTTCATTCTAACAAAGTCTTAAGCCTCACACCAAAGTTATGAGGCAAAATATGTGCACCTCACCTCAAGGCCAAGCCTTTTAAAACAATGGATTGGATTAAATGGGATGTGAGCCAAATACAAGTTTGATTTGTTAGTCTTAGGATCCAATTCAAATTATGTGTTGAATTAGAGATGTACAACGGAGTGAATCGAATTCAGCAAGGTTTTAAAAATTGAAACGGAACCGCTGTGGCCACTGGTTTTCTGGGCCAATAGTTCGACCATCTAGGTCAAGTGGTTCAGGTGGGTTTATTATATTGGAATATTAGGGAAAATATCCATTGCTTGTTTAGTCTTTTACATATGTGGTTGTTGGTAGTGGCACTTGACTAAGAAAGAAAGAAAGAAAGAAAGAAAGAAGAAATAAAGGAAAGAAAAGAAAGAAGGAAAGGAGAGAAAGGAAAGAAATAAAGGAATTAAGGAAGGAAGGAGGGAAGGAGGAGGAGGAGGAGGAGCATCTGACGTTCACCGGTGATGGCAACAAAAAAATGCAACTTCAGATATCTCTGGTCTCAAATATGAGATCTGAGAACTAAGATTTGGCCTCTCTCTCTCTCTCTCTCTGGGATGATCTTAAATCTGAGATCATTTTGTCTCAGGCCCTCATATCTCAATCTCCTCTTCTTGTTAAACTGTGAACCATTGTCTAGGTCGAATGGATCAATGGTTTGATCACCCGAGTCAATGGTTCTTTGACTAAATCAACAGTTTTCTGGCCTGTTAACAGGTTAAGGGTAAAATAGAACCAGTTGCCTAAATGGTTTCCAACCAAATGGTCTGACTGTTCAGGTCAACAATAGTTCGAAAACATTGGAATTCAGATAGGAGTATATCTGATTTTGATTCAATAACGTACATCCTATATCCGATCCGGTTTGATGTTCGAATAGATCTCACAAAGATTAATCCAAATTTGAATTCGTTAAGGATGTCGGATATGTAAGTCTGGTTTGATTCGATTTAATTACCCATAGGTCTATAAATACTAACAAATTATTAATAGAAAAAAAGGAAAAACAGTGTACACAAAAGAAAAATAAAAAATCAAATGGGGTTATGCATGTCTTTTTATAAACACCATAAATTGTATAAAAATCAATATATATATATATATATATATATATATATATATATATATATATATAGGGCTGATTCAAATTCGATCCATTTTTTTTGAACAAATCATATTTTCTTTTCCAATTCAATTTGAAAATCCAACCTGGGGATAAAATAGATTCAAATTGCATTGATCCATTTGCACCCTACACTCATGGAAGTAATTATCACAAATATTAAATTGAAATTAACTTATATTATATATAATGAATAAAAATAAAACAAATGATTAAGCACATAACATTTAAACAAATTTTATTAATAGATTATATATAAAGAACAATCAAATCTAATTATATTATATTGGGTAGGAATGGATCCAGAATCAAATTCAAACAAACAAATACCATTTGCAAGTTAACTTGGCACATCCATTCCTTAAAAGAGCAGGATCATATTCCAGACAGAAGAGTTACAAACACTATGAAAACCAATCAAGAGCTAACATGCGATTGTAAACTGAATTGGGTTGGATCAGGTTCGGATTGGACCCACCCAAGTTGCAGCCCAAATTAAGGTCAAATCCATTTGATAATTTTTGTAGAAGAGAAAAATGGGAAGGAGTGCAATTTAATAATTTTAGCAATAATTTTAATTGTGAACAGATTCACTAAATCATGCTTTTAAATCCTTGACCTATCACTTATATAGATGTCTCATGAGTTGTCCTCCGCCAATGCTCAGATTTATATAGAGGTGCAATCGAATAGTTGGGGTTTAAAGTTTGAGGGCTTGGTTCAAGTTTGATTCTAATCGATTTCAAATCTTAAGTAAATTCAATTAGTTATTCAAACTCAAATTTAACCAACATAAATTTTGGCTCAAAAACCTCATAGGCCTGACTGGATTATATATTACAAAATTAAATTTTATATTATAATTTATAAAACATAAAATATATTAAATTTTTGAGCTTTTGAGCCGAACTCAAACTCATCACATAGCTAGTCAAACGAGCTCAAACTGAAAAATAGAGTTTGAATTAAATTCTCAAACATATTTGTATTTTAATTGAACCGAGCCAAGATATACCAAATTTCGGCTCAACTTGATTACACCCAATCTATATATTTCTAGCTTCAGAAGACTGGTCTACTCTGGTGTCTAGATTAGCATTTCGTTTGCTGATTTTTTCTTAAGGCTGCATTTGGAAAAGATGCAAACGGAGTGTAAATCTCGGTTCAGGGTAAATTTGCACTCTGGTTCACTTTTGCTTGTGTTTGACAACACTGCATTTTTACATTGACAAATGACAGATCAATGCATATTTACATTGATAATAAGATGTAAAAATACACCAATAAAAAAGAAGCAAATTTGCATTTAAGTGGGCTTTTGATAAAAAAAAGCATATGCTTTATTGGAATTCGTGTTTGCATCCATTACAGCTAAAAGTCTGTTTGGTAAGAACGTAAATTTGTCAATGCAAAACTAACCCAACTTTGCAATTTATATGAACCGTTTTACACTCTACATATATGCATAGTTTCGAAGCGCAGCCTAATGTTTTTTCTGAGTATCACTGAATGAGTTTACAAAAGAAAAATAAATAAATCCTTGATCTACCCTTTGCAACCCAGCATGTATTGTAGGTGGATGACATTGTTAATCAGAAAATCTATCAAATAGACAACTCAATTAATTACCCGCATTTTTAAGTGATTAAGATGATTTTGGGCAGGCCATATGACCAAAAGCAGAGTTCAAATAGTCAATATCATCCAATTGCAGTATTTATCCTGTGCATTTGGGTCCTCTTTTTCTGATTTGGTTTGAGCCAAATCTCAGAAAATTTAGAAGGTATATCATACTCGAGGAAGAATTTAAAGAAAATTTTACAGTAAGTAGTCATTACAAAATTTTGATGCCTTGTTAGCAATCTCTTCAATAACTGGGGAGTAGAATCCAAGGGAAGATTCAAGACTAGAAGTCTTCGTCCAGTTTGAAAACATAGTTTCCTCCATCTTGTAGGCTAGACATAACAGAAGACTTCTGATAGTCACCCACCCTTCTCTCAAAGAAATTTGCTTTTCCTCTGCGCAACCAACCAAATAAACCAAAAGATGAATACCAACTTAGAAAAAAGTTACAGTGAAAACAAGGGCACACTGGTGCATCACTACATATAACCAGCAATTGAAATAACAAGAAAAAGAAACTATACAACAGTTGTTGGGCCAACCATACAACCTTTTCAACCTACAATTATACTAATTGTGAAGCCTTCATCGCTTGACATGGAACTAATTCTTGAACAGCTTAAAATATGAAGCCAAGTCTTGAAGAAGCCTGCAAATCAGGAGCTTATGACTGTCCTATTGGTAGAAGGCCATCCAAATGGTGGTCCACCAGTTTAATGGCCATATCAAGATTCAAGAATCTGATCTCTAAGCATGGTATAGGACATTGGGTGAAGCCATCTCAAACCAAAAAAAAGCCAACATAACCACTATGCCTATGTTATAATCTCCATCAAATCCAGGGGAAAACTATAAGTTCTCATTACATGACTGCAAATAAGCTTCACCAGGAGTTTGAACATGATGTAATCCCATGTATATGCAAACATAAAAACAGATGATTCAGATATTAATTTAGTGGTTTAAAAATCTATATTACCCAGATACAGAAAGGACGAAGCTGGACATGGTATCTGATACAGAATTTACACCAAAAATTGAAATATCCAACATGAGTCGGCACCCTTGTACAGGTATCATAGTCAAAAAATCAGAAGACTATACAGAAGATATATTTGAAAACTCAATACTCACTGCAAGGAGATAAATTCCATCCAATCAAAAGGATTTTCTACATTGTACTTTTTCTGGTACCCTAATGCAACCTGAAACATTAAAAACAGTTACAGCTAATACATAACAGGGAAAAAAAACTCCAAGTCAAAAATCAAAGGTCAAAATATATGTGAAAAGATTACCAGTAGGCGATCGGCAACAAACTTTATATAATGGCTCATGAGAACTGAGCTCATGCCAATTAATGCACATGGGAGAGCTTCACAAACAAATTGAGTCTCGATTTCTACAGCTTCATGCACAATATGATGAACTCTTTGCGAGCTTAGTTGCTTCTGTAACAAGCTGTAAGCAAAAGGAATTAATTTTTTATTTTCATTTTCTTTTTTGGTGGGGAAGCTGGGATTGAATGCATGACCAGAAAGAACAAATAAGCACCGCGTAGAGCAAGCCATGTAGCAAATGTGAAAGGTAAACAAAGTCCACCTGTACAGAAGGCAAGCAAAGTCGCAGTGGAGACCCTCATCTCTGGAAATAAGCTCATTTGAGAATGTCAATCCTGGCATGAGTCCCCTCTTTTTCAGCCAGAAAATTGCACAGAAGCTGAGAAGAACAATAAAAACACAATATCCTTGTATTTAAAAAGGTAGACACAATACAAGGCCATTAGTTTGTAAAAGTAGGAGATATCATGAAGGAGAAAGAAGCTTACCTTCCTGAGAAAAATATTCCTTCAACACATGCAAAGGCAACAAGTCTTTCTGCAAATGAAGTGGAGCTGCACATCGGAAGTGGCACAATGGGAAAAAGGAAAAAGGTTGAACTCACAAAGTTTATCAAGCCAGTTAACCAGTACACAAAAATTTGATGCAAATAAAAGACATAAATGGTCCAAACCTAGGCTCTTGATAGAGCACAATGGCAGGACAAATTTCATGTAACCCCAAATAGTTGGGATTAAGGCTGAGTTGAGTTGGATTAAGTAATTCCAGATCTATTTGGGGGACTCTTTTGCAGGCTCAGTGCAGCTTACCTACCAAAATGGAACAGGAAACACAAGTTGAGTTTCCAAATACCTAATGTGATGGTATAAATAACATTTTATTAGAATGAAATGGAAGCCACCATGCAAAAGTCTTGATGAGATAAAGTGAAGTTTATTTGATCATTTCTTCCTTTTTTTTTTCTGCTACAAGGAATAGGAATGTTCTGCAAATGTCCTCTTTGATGTAAGATAAAATGTCAAAAAGAACACTCAGAAACTGATCATAGTCCAATGTTCTGACAAGATAACAACCTCACTGTTGCATGAAATTTAGGCGTTAGAATAGTGCTTCTGATTCTTCTGTTTGGCTATATGCCATATATTAATATGTTATGTTTGTGCCTTGAATTCTTTGTGGCGACCCGCTTGATGAATTCGCTCTGAATTAATTTGAGAAAAAAGCCAAAGGTAAATTTTCATAGTGGTTTGTGGTGGATGCGTAACCACAAATCACCATTGGGGGTGCGGGGGGCGCAGTCCCCGCGGCGGTATGGACCCGACCCATATTCATCTTATAGGTCCGAACTGAATACGAAAAGTTATGTATTTCGGGGGTTTTCTCTCTTGTACACAGAGTCTGAGTCTTGGGTGTATTTAGGGCTTAGGGTTTTTCTGTGAGAGCACAACTTTATATTTCTTCTCCATTACCTACTTCATAGTGGATTTTTGTTCCTCCTTCGCCCGTGGACGTAGGCTATAAGCCGAACCACGTAAATCTATGTGTACTCTGTGCTTGTTTCTCTTTATCTCTGTTTTACTTTCATTTTGAGTGCCATTTCGAATTTGTTTTCTTGGGTTTTTCTGCAACATAATATATAGTTGAGGGGAGATTTATGGGTATACAGTCCTGGCAACTCTTACTAGAGAACCAGAATTTAATGAAGCTAAGTTAAAACAGTTTTAAATTTTAATCCAAATGAAAATTGGAGGACCTACAGTCAAACACACACACACACACACTCAGACCCCTGTGTGCAATTGGGATTGACATATAGTATTTAAAGGGACATGAAATGCCAAAGAGGAAAATCCTGGAAGAATGAACTGCCTGAGGCATCTATCTGAGCATTTGCCTGTGAGTGGATTAGTAACCTCAATAATATTATACAAGATAATTTCATCTAACACTTTGTAGATGTTATATGCAACAGGACCACACTTTGCACAAGCAAACACACATGCATATAGAGAATGCTGATAAGGAGGAAATGTATATACAAAATATACAGAAACTCAGAAACTCAGAAAAATAAAATAAAATCAAGATGAAAACAACAGAAAAAAAAAACTTTATTTAGAAAAGATTAATTTAGCACAAATGACAGAACAACATGGATATTAACTCAGTATACACTACAGTAAAAATGAAGAAACAAACCATCCAAAAAATTTGATGCAAAAATCATGCAGATAAAATATTCAAATTTGACTGCAAGAATAAGGTTCTAAAATCAAGAATATCATATTTACCATCACTAAGGTTGACTTCTTTACATCCTTTTCTTTAACCATATCAATATTTACAATGTGAAAATACCTTTGAATCCAATCCAAGGCCCACTTAGCCTTTCTAGCAACAGAAGGAATGTTTTCAATGGCATTGAACAACCTGTGCTTCTCCTTTGGGTCCTTGATGTATGTCTCCAAAAGTAAGCTGTACATCTCTGGAGAAAAAAAATCATGAAAAGGATCCAAAATCAAAATTTGAGCATCCTTGACAGAAAAGAACCCACTCACATCACTTACAAATCACTACCAGRATGAATGTTCTCCATGGCAATTTGAAACCCATAAAATGCTCGAGCCTGCAGAAGATGAGAGGTATTGCCATTAGCTTGTTTCAAGCAAGAAGCACAGAAACTGGCATCCACATTCAAGAATAAAATAAACTTTTTATGGAGAAGAACAAGCTACCACAATAAATTATAGTATATGACATAAATATTAAATACACATTATTTGTATTTATATTATTGTATAAAGAATAAAATGCTATTCCTTGTTAATGGCCAAGTTTTTCCTATTCAATAATTGAAAAACTAAAAGAAAGAGAATTCCAATTGCTATTGTCCCAAAAGAGAAACTTGTTTTTCTGCTTTTACATCGTTTCCTTCAGAAATGACTGTATGATCACCAAATTTCATATTGACAAAAGAAAGAAATCCAAACCTCTAATGCTCCAAGATGTAAATTTACAGAACATAAAATTGAACTGGTCAAACATGGAAAAATATGGCATTATCATTCTACACTTCAAAACGTTGTAAATATTAAGGAAGAACACTGATCAAGATATAGTTATCTTATCGACTATATATTAAAAATATAAAAACTACCAAGGTAAAGAGAGGTTGCATGGGCAAGGAAATGGCCTCTGGAATTTGAACATCTTTTAGAAATCGAGCGGCCAAGTTCTCCAACACGATGCCATCAGATGCAGCAAAAAATGCTAGTACATGGCTTATGAAGTGTTTCTCAGAATCAGACAGAGCCTTCCACTGTTGAATATCATGGGAGAGGTCAACTTCTTCGGCTGCAAGCCCATTAACAAATTATCAGCAGAAAATTTTGAATGATATGGAAATAAGGAACGTGCAAGGACTGGCACACACACAGAGACAAAGATATCTTCCAAGAATAGAATTCAGTTAATCATGAGAGTGAGTGACTGGAGAATCCTAACTTCAAATGGGTTGATCACTTTCTCAATATGATCTATGAAAAACATGCTGGCCATAAAAGGGACAAAAGTATAACAGAAACATTTGAGGTGAGTGACTGGAGAATTCAGTTAACCATAAGGTGAGCGATTAGAGAATTCAGTTAATCATAAAACTGAGTGACTGGAGAATTCTAACTTCAAATGAGGTGATCACTTTCTCTACAAAATGTATGGAAAACATGTTAGCCATAAAAGAGGCAAAAATATAACTGAAACATTTCAGGTTGAAAACTTTCCTTCTCTTTTTACATAGGAAAAAAACCAAGCTTCAAGGAATCGAAATTCTAGGAGCCCCAAGTCGACAGAACTGTGAAAAGACAAAATCAACCAACAAGAAAGGAAAGAGAAGTATGAAACGAATAACAAGCTAAGAAAATCAGAAGGATGATCGTCACTATGGCATGAGAATAATCATAAACACAAAGGTCTTGGCACCGTCGTGACAGGGGATTCAAATTATGAAAAAGAAGGACAAGTTCTAACTAATGAAATAGATGATAAACAAGAACAGAATAGTACGAGAGAGAATAAACCGGAACAGAATAGTCCTAACTTATGAAATAGATTTCCCTTTTGTTGTTTTTAGGGAAAGTAAAGAATATACAAGAACAGAATAGTACATAGTTTGTTACGCGAAAAAAAAAATAAGTACAAAAGGAACGAAACGGATAATCAACAGAAACGTCTAGGACGAGAGAGAGCAAGGAAGACATTGACCATTGACAAAACATAGATGGACTCAATTCCCAAAACAAGAAATACAGGAAAACACCCCAAACCACAGAATGTTATACGTGTGTGCAAGTGAAAGAGAGAAAGTAGGGAAACGAACAGATTATGAGATTACGGAACGAATTCGAAATACATTAACAGATAATTAAAAGTGAAATTGAACAGAAGAAAGATGAGAAAAGAAGCCCGAATTCCCATACAACAAAGATAGAACATTGGAAGACAGACAAGGAGACAGGGATAAAGAATACCAGTCCAAAAACTAGCTTCAGCTTTCTTGTACATCTCCCAGAGCTGTTTGTATCTAACAGGGAACATACAAAACCTCTGAGACTGTTCCATCAGAATTAGCTCCTCTTCTTGTTGCTCACAGTCTCTTCCTCCAGTTTCCAGGGAACCCATCTCCCAGAATTTCGCAAATTTCTCAGAATTCTATCCCTCTCTGTACCTCTGTCTCTTGTAGTAAAACGGAGCAGTAACTCTAACCCCTACCAAAACCCAAAAAACACAAACACCGATGACAAATAGGTAGAACGAAGATGCGACTCGTGAAGTTGAGATCTTTTATTTACGAGGAGAGAGGTCCCCGTCCTCCCTTCACAACAATCGTGCACCTTATTGGATAATCTATTACTAATCTCGGATAATCGCTTTTTCAGACGCGCCCGTGATATCACTCGCTCCAATGTGCAGCTAGCTAAGTAGTAGCTATTGACGACTCGGCTAAAGATAAATAATGAGGTGGCCATGCAGAATTCTAATTTCCGTGAGCAATCAGCCCCCCACCAGATTGCCCTCCACAAGTGTGTGGTGCCACGAGTTAGCACTGGATAGCGAGTGACATGGGCGGAGTCTGAGCGCGATTGTCACTTGCCATTGGTTAAGAAGCATCTCTTTCCCTGCTTCTCTTCCGTCAATTTTACTGAATAGATCACTTGCGCAGGCTGAAGAGTGACGAGTGAGTGATGTAAATTGGTTAGACGAATCGTGTTAAAAGCGCCACGTGTTTACTACATCACCCTCTATTCTACTTCAAAGCAAGTTTTGATACATCAACGACGGTAGGAATGCAAACGGATCGGATCGGATTTGAATCGGGGTATTCGAATCCCATCCGATACTGTTCATACCAAATCCGATCGGATTCGAAGACTGATAAGATTCAATTTGAATTCGAATCTTATTGGTAAGTCGGATTTGGATCTGATCCGGTCTGACTTGTTTTCTTTAAAAAATAATAAATTATTAAAAAAATAAATAAAATATACTAATTTAAATAAAGTAAAAACAAAAAAATATAAGTATTTTTTAATTATTTTTATCATATATATATATATACATATTTTTTGTAAAAAATAAATAATATAAAAATATATTTATAAATAAATAAATAACATATATATGTGTATTATATATATTTATATTTATAGTATATAATGTATATCAGATAGGATAGGGGGTGGTGATCTGAATTCGATCCAATTTTTTATGGGATCATATTATCCAATTTGATCTAAAGATCCGAACAAGGATGATTCGAATTCAACCAAATAGGATTGGATATCGGATCAAATCAGATCATGATCTGATCCATTTGCACCCCTAAAATGACCAAATCCCTTTTTGACTAAGATAAAGCAAGTAGGGCTTTTGCCGCATGACCCATCATGTGTTGTTAGCAGCTTTTTGTTGCGGTGCAAATTTATATTGATATAAATGCATGAGAGTGCAAATACACTCAATGTAAATTTTGGTTTGTTTTTGCTTTAGATTTGATCTTGTCTTCTTTGTTTTTAAAAAAGTGAATAAGAAGTAAAATGGTGGATTTCCCTCCTTATATACAAGAGAAGATAGTCCGACTATCAACGCCTTATACTCAGCTTTATTGTTCGAAGTTCGAAATGTGAATTGGAGAGTGTACTCCAGTTTTACTTAGCTAGGTCCATAGAGGATTAGTCTAACTCCACTTACACGCTGGTTGGAAGAGTTGTCCACATAGAGGATCCGGGGCTCCTCGTTCCAGGCTAGGTCGGGTGCCACACTGGTAGTAACCTCTGAGGTGGTCACAGGCTCCACAACTTCAAAGGTCGTCGTGCTGAACGCACACTCAACGACGAAGTCTGCCAGGACTTGTGCTTTGATCGTTGGGTGCGGATCAAACCAGATGTCGTACTCACTGAGCTCGATTGCCCATTTTGTTAACTTTCCCGAGACCTCGGGCTTCTAAGAAACTTGCCTCAGAGGTTAATCGGTTAGGATTACAATGGTGTGGGCTTGGAAGTAAGGGCGTAGTTTGCGGGCTGCTAGCACTAGCGAGAAGGCCAACTTCTCAATATTTGGGTACTTCGTCTTGGCAGCATGTAGGACTTTACTTACGTAGTAGACAAGTCGCTGCACCCTGTCTACCTTGTGAATTAAAACCAAGTTGACTACCTCATCACTTGCTGAGAGGTAGAGTTTTAGATTGTCTTCGAGTTTCGGCCTAATCAACAAGGGCGGTGAACTTAGATACCTTTTTAGCTCGTCAAATGTGAGTTAACACTCTTCGGTCCACTCAAAGTTTTGCTTCTTTTTATGGCTTTGAAGAATGGAAGGCACCGCCTAACCGACTTAGACATAAACCGGTTTAGGGCAACTGCCTGTTAGCCTTTGGACCTCTTTAATCGACCTAGGGAGTCTCGTATTTAGGACGACCTGGATTTTGTCTAGGTTGGCCTCGATGCCACATCGATTCATTATGTTCCCAAGGAACTTGCCTGACATGACCCCAAAGATGCACTTGATAGGGTTGAGCTTCATGTTGTATTTTCTTAAAATATCAAAAACATTGTTTAGATTGGAAATTAAAGAATTTGAAAACTGGGTTTTCACAACCATGTCACCAGCATATGCTTCTATTTTATTTTCAATTAATTCAAAAAGCACTTTGTTTACAAGTTACTGGTAGTCGCTCCAGCGCTTTTTAAACCAAAGGGCATAACTTTATAGAAGTACAAGCCCGTTCTGGTCTTGCCCCCCTGTGACCGCTCCATTAGCACGTACGTTGTTGTTGACAGGGGTGTTGTTGGAAAATGCCATTAAAGGTGTAGCTAGGGAGAGGATGTGAGAATACGACTTTTGTGTAGCATTCCCACAGATGGCGCTAATTGATGATGTACGATCTGGTGCTCCCAACTGTCTAATAGCTCGGACGCCGGGCTGAGTAGGCCCTGTAAGAGAGAAGTAATCAGAGTGTCCAAGTTGCTTGACTTGGGGTGGGCACTCCAATGCTTAAGTTAGCAAGCTGGTATTTGATTGCAAGAGAGCTAATTCGCACGTACCTTGTGAGGTTAGAGGTTAGGCCCTTATATAGGTGAACTGACATGAGCCTCATGAATCGCATCCGGGATCTCCGACCTATTTGGTTCGGAGGTGGTTTCATGCCTGGAGGTGGACTCCACGTAAGCGAGTAACGTTTGTCTAATCCCGCCCAAATCGGGTGAGGGTACAACCAGCTCTTTCAACGTGGCATCGTGATTTCAAGGAATTTGGAGGTGATTGCCCACTTAAGAGGGAGGTCACTTAACACGTCAGGCAAGTCGCCAACTAGAGTCATGACAGGTCGGTGGAAGCAAGTTGCTTCTTACGCAGACTTAAGGTCTTGCCTGGTTGTTCGTAGTTCGGCTTACCGAAGTTGTACCGAGGTCGTCAGGGCGGTTGTGAAGTGTCCAATATGCACCTGGGGTCTACTTACGTGGTGTCGAAGTGTCACTCTACAGTTCTGCAATGCCACGTGTCATGATATTATTGGAGGACCAAATTACCCCTCATCAATTACAAAATTCATTTTCATCCATTCTTATAGAAGCATTTAGCACCTATTTAAAACTATTAAAAAGAACTAGTTTGTTGAATTTGGTAGGCAATTGTGCAAATGAAGAGCTTAGAACTTCAAAATAGAAATGGAATCTAAAATTAAAAATATCTAACAATCTCATTGATAATAGTATATTCAATAAATATAATATATTAATAAAATCATAAAATATAGTAAAACATCACAAAATCGTGCGTTATACTGTTTATTTTCATTTTTTAAAGAAACTCTATGCAAGTAGTCATAAACTACTAGCCTAGGTCTCAAAAACCGTTAGCATAAATTTTCATCAAGTGGCCAGTAGTTAATATCCATCAGCATATGTTCTCATAATATATTGTTGGCCATTTGCTGGTAAAAACTGACTGCCAACACAAAGTTTTCCTAAAGAATGAAAACGAATAATATAAGGCACCATTATGTTTCATTAACTGAATTTTTATGCCATAAAAAAGCTCTCGTATGACTCATTTTTCCTCATTCTTGCTTAAAGTGACTACGAATTAAAAGAATGAGGCTTGCAGTAGCGAACCAAAGTACCAAACAAGTCATGGCCCAATGCTACAAAAATTGGACCAGACCTCAAATCATCAAGCATAAGCATGAACCCCTTTTGAATCAACTCTCGGTACAGATGGATCTACTTTAATCCGATTTAAATTCAAATCCAATTCATTTAAGTAAGATTCAAATATTCATTTAGCCATACTAAAGATTAAATTCTATTAGAAAATATGATCCACTTATCAATCTTGGCAATTTCAGATATTGCATGCTCCGATCCAATTATAATTAAATTTTAATATTAAAATTTTATAGAATTAAGTTGGATCAGTGGTTCAAATAATCTTATTTTTCCTTTATAGTATATAATTTTTGTTATATTTTTAATTTTATAAATTTATGCTAATTCTATATAAATTTATAGAAACTTTTATCATGTTTTGATATATAAACTGATCAAATTCAAATCTATGTTTCACATATCCATGGGATATCGAATCAAATTTGGATCCCTCGGATTCTTATCAGATCATATTCAAACATACCCCCTATCCAAAATTCAATATCAGCCCTGATTCCATCAAACCTATCATATTCAGGCTCCAAATGATTTTCTAGAAGGTGCTATCTTGGTTGCTTGTAAGTAGGGGTGTCAATTGGACTGGATTTGGTCCAATCCGATCCAGTCCAGTGCAAGTCCATTATAAATGGATCAGGTCCAATCCAATCCAATAAATATTTTGGACTGGTCCAATTCAATGTCTGGACCATCTAATATGTTCAAATTCATTTTAATTTAGATTTGTTTCAACCCAAACCCGGTCCATTGATACCTATATTCTTATCTTATGGACAGACCAGGTACAATCCAATCTAATATTTTGGACTGGATTGGTCCAATTCAATATGTCTTGTTGGTCCGTCCAATCCATCCAAATTGATTTTAGAGTGGACCGGGCCATTGACATCCTTACTTGTAAGGTTTCCAGCTGGCTGTTGCAGAGACTTTCAGATCCAACCTTCATTGTATTGGGATTTGGGGTTGGGGATGACCACTCCCTTTGTATGCCCCAAAACCCCATTTGCCTACCAAAAAATAGCTTCTCCCTCCACAGACCAAGTATTGGTAAGTGCAGTCTGATTCCTTGCTGAAGCTGACACCCTAAAAATGAACAGAATGCAATTACATTTTATGTTTCATGGTCCTTCCAAGTAGGGGTGTCAATGAACCGGTTTTGGGTTGGATCCCATTTAATTAAACGGATTGAACAGATCAATAAGACTATGAATTGGACCGGCCCAGGCTTAATGGTCTAAAGTATTTATTGTATTGAGTTGGACCTGGTCCACCTGTAATGGATTTATATTGGATTAGGTCAGATTGAACCAATATTTGGCTATTGACAGAAGATAAAATTACAGGTGTCAATGAACCAGGTTTGGATTGGAACCAATCTAAATTAAAACCAATTTAGACAGATTAGACGGTCCCAGACATTGAATTGGACTGGTCCAAAATGGTCCACAGTATTCATCGGATTGGATTGGACCTGTTCCATCTGTAATGGACTCACATTGGACCAGATCGGATTGGACCAAATTCCAATTGACACCCCTACTTCCAAGTTCCAATATTAGTCCAAAATCATGTGTTATATGCCCATTCCATGAAGGCATAATAAGAGCTTGCCTTGAACACATCAGACTTCAATGTTGCATATTACCATTTACCAATTATCTCTAGAACAAAAACGCCACCCAGAAATAAATGCATAGTACCAACGGAACCACCTCTTAAGAAACTTCTAAGAGATCTACGAGTCCAGCAGCAATTTACTTCTTATCTCAGCATCTTTTCTAGTGTGAGACATACCAAAAGCATGGACATGAAAAGGCTGATGACACTCAAAATCTTATCCAGGAAATGTACGCCTTCATTAGCATTGTCACGGTGTACGCCAATAACCCTTTCAGTCTCTACCAATTTGGCCTCAAGATCCTTGTTCTCTCTCTTAAGCTGTAAAACCACAATAGTAAGTGGGGCTTTGCTTGAAAAGGTTTGAATTCTCTAACTGAGATCAGCTTTTGTTCTTCACCTTGTCAACAGTTCTTGTAAGCTCGTCCAGGGCTTGGTGCAATGAAGAAACTGTACGAAAAGTAACATCTTCATAAGCTGATTCAATTTCTTCAGCTGAACTAAGATCAGAGAAGATCCCCTCTATTTTAAACAACTCCTCCAGTAACTTCACATCTTCAGCCTCTAGTTTCTCCCTTAACTACCCAAAGAATAATTTCTCCTCTTATTGAAAGGAAGAGTGTTCTTGAAATTAGGAAAAATAGAAGTTCATAAAACAAATTAAGTAATTTCACTTTACCTTCTTCAGTATCATCTCATATAACTCATCTTTAACAGGACAGATATCCAGATCCAATTGCTTCTTTTCACATTTATCTCTATTATAGTTAGCCCGTGGTGATGTCTTTATGTGTTTTGCCCTTCCCAATTGCCAGCACATCAGACATTCCATTTTGAGTTATGAAGATTGTAATGGTAAATTTCCAATGGAATTGAATAACTGACCTTGCACCAAAGCGAAGAGTAGACAAACTTTCTGATGCATTCAAGGTGCTTGGTGAGCAACAACATAGTAATGCTGTTCTGGAATTGCCACCCTGCCAGAAGAGAAAAAGGTGGCCTTCAAGAGAAAATTTGTCACAATTTGGCGAGACAGGATTGAGGTGAAGGACTAACAAGAGCATCTTGTAGAATTCGTGTGAGTTTAGAATCACGATAAGGAATATGGTTAGCTTTGCCTGGTGTTCCGCTAGTCAGAGCATTGATTACATTGCCAAGGGCTGAGAGGGACTTATTGATGGTCTTTGCTTCTTCAAGGACTTTCCCTTCAGCTCCAGTTTTCTCTACCTTTTCGGAGCCAGCCAAGTCAACAAGAATTATCTTTCCAGTTTTCAGCCTGTTAGCAATTGAAAAGAGCTTAAATCAGAGCTATCTAAATCTCAATACTAAAAACAGAAACATTAAGATCAATATTTTAGAGACAAACCTCCTCTCTCCAGTGCATTCTTGCTGAATTGTAAATATGTAAACACAGTGACTTCTGCTGCTGGCCATGTTCATTTCTAGTATGTTAAGGTCTCATGGCAGGACTTGAATTCTATTAGTAACCAATCATAAACTGTGTGTTTAATCTCCTGGAAAGAGATATTATTTAAAGTTTAAATGAAAAAAAAATAAAAACAAAGGATACGTGTCTCTCCAACTGCCCTATTAGCAATTCCATTCTGCATTCACAAGATTTAGATTGAGGATCAATAACAGTACACAGAGAACTAAGATTAACAACAAAAATGTAGCTTGCATCTTACACATAGGTTTTGCAAGGCTTCTTCAGGGTCTAAAACAGAAACCTGAAAGTAAGGAAAGTTAGAAATGCACTAAAACTAAGGTGTCTTATAATCCTATCACTTTTACAGTACTAAAACTTCATTCAAAGGACTTGCTTAGTCAATCTCAGTTTCATAGTTGGAAATACAAGTAGTTAGGTAAATTACTCAGCTAAGTATAAAATTCAAATTAACTTGAGAAAACTAGAGAAATCAATCAGTGGTAACAAGTTTTATCAATTTTGGTGTTCACATAGGTTCAACCCTGTATCAATATTTAGAAACAATTGAGCACCATATCAAAACCAAAACACAAAATACCAGCTTTATCACTACATTTCATATTCACTATCAAACTGCTATTAAAATATCAAAGCAATACTTTAAGAAGCTTTAAATGATACAAGTGACACTCATTCTCTAGACTTGCTCACCTCAGTTACCCCTGACAAATATATTCCTTGAATTTTATCCTCCTTAATCTGTAAATTGTCCTTAGATAAATCGAAAAGATCTCTGTGAAAAGAAAACAATCATGATCTAGGAGATGTCAATAGACTACATTATGAATGAAAAATTAAAATTTGTTTCACATGTTAAGGAACTGCAAAAGAGGAAAATTCATTCAAGAAGATGGAGATTGTTACAAGATCATCTTTTAAGAATAAAGATCTCTCAGATATACAAACCTTACTTTCTCCATATAGATCTCCACCTAGAAGAGCCAGAGAAAAGGTTTATTAGTTACTCGGTGTGATAGGTGATGACATTAAAGCATCAGCGTGTTTCAGCTTATACCATTGACAACTTGACCGTGTATACTTTTTCAGAAGATCTGAGACAATCAAAAAGTCCCTCCACAACTCGTGGAAGTAGTCCTTTCTTCTTCTCATTGCCCTCTAGGATGTTCGGCCCCTGATCAAGCAGGGAAACATTGCCTAGTATCAGCTTAATCTCACAGCACAAACTGCAATCTGTTGAAAACATCCATGTTTATGATCTGATAGCATCACCTCCATACTATATGTCTTCCCTGCTCCAGTCTGTTTTAAATGCATAGTTCAAAGATAAAGTCAGTAATTGGAAGATTATATATTGCTCAGTTTCCTATGATCGGAGTTATGAGAAATGCTAAGAAAGTAAGAAATATGTTCTACTAATATGAACCATCTATCCCCATGTATGTTCATATACTTGGGGAGACAATATAGCAAAAGTTAGAGAGTGAACAATCTTCAACTTTATGCAAATAAAAGACAAATATTATATATATACACTTTGAAAATTGATATATGAAATTCTTTGGGATCAAAATTATATTCTTTATGATGAAATACTATGACTAGAGAGAAACCATAGAAAACAAAATGCAGAAAGACCTGATATACAACCAGGCCTGCTACTTTCTATAGCTGTGTTTTATCTGCAGTAGAGAATAAAATGCAGGATTGAAATGGAAACTGGAATCCACAGCCTGGCCGCAAAAAGTACATTGCACAGAATCTGGAAAATTGGTAGATTGTTAGGCACATTTTCCTTTGATTTGGCAGAAACAAGTTTCCATAGTGGAGCTAATCATTTGGTTTCTGTTGATTTCAGGCAGGATGGAAACTGGTTTTCTTATCTGGCTCCCCAAATTTATACACAGCCCAAACAATTTTTTGTTCCATAAAAAATGGTTCTAAAGATGACTTGCAAAATCTTTATATATCTAATACTCTATTCAGTTTTATTAGGAAAAAGGAAAGTAGAAGGGTTTATTATCACAAAATATGTTTCAGTTTTTTTTTTTGGTCCAACAGATTGCAGGATGAGTGGGTGACAATGTAGAGGATAACATACATAAAATCAATAATTTTGAGATAAGACGCATAAATGCATTTACTTGTCTCTACAAGTCTTTTGCTTCTTTGTATGACATGTGCATGCATGCATGTAATGCAATAAATTTGATTTAAGCATCATGGAAAACTGCACTTTACAAACAACTGCAGACCAAAAGTGGATAAAGGGAAGCAAGCACCACAATGAACAATTTCTGCTCAACAAATTGTATAATACCTGTCCATAAGTAAGGATTGTTCCATTAATTGCATTAACAGCATCTGTTTTGTGAAGATGAAGTTGAAAGAAAAAAAAAATGCACAAATAAGTTGAGCTGCTTCAGGATCAAGTTAAAAGAATTTCTCTTAATCAATAGAATCAAGTCAATGGATAAAAAGAGAAAATTTTAGTTCTCATGGTCCATGGTTAAGAAATTGATCGTCATAAGATCAGATAATTGGAGGTAAGATATATATTACCAGTTAATACCTTGGATTATAGGCAGAGCAAGGAATTCATACACATCCGATTGCTCAGACTCCTGACAGAACACCCTGTCAAAACAGAATAGATGATCTTCTTCCTTCTCATCCTAGCAGATATCAAGCAATTGTCATAAGCATTAAATTGCATAAATGATAAAAATGAAAAAAAAAAGAATGAACGTTCTGGGTTCTGGCAAAGGGCAACCTTGAAAATTAAAGTTCCGGCATCCAGAATATGGATGCAAATAGAGTCGTTGTGATCTCTTTTCTCTTTTGAACTTAAAGGCCTGAAGCGAGCACAGACAGTTATACTTGACATATCTCTATCCTTCCCGAAAACTCGACCTCCGGGGGAATTGTCAAAGCTATGACAAAATCAAACAAAATGCTATATTAGCGAAGACACTTCTCAGCAATGAAAATAATATTATCAGTATGGATTTTTAATATTTTCCCAACCCTGTATACCAAACACGCAGCCTTTCATTTTTCTGATTTTTCTGCTCTTCTATCATCATCCAGGCATTTCATTACTGGGATCAAAATTCATTTCCAGAACGATAACATGATTTCAATTTCCAGATTTACAAGCTAGAAAGAAAGGAATTTCCCAATGCCACCACATTGATATGTAAACGTTAGATTTGAGTAGAGGTATAACATCCAAATTTGAAGAGAATACTGTTAACAGGAAACCTTCATAATCCAATGGCAGCATAAAACATATAGGTTAGGAATTAACTTATGACTCTTCAAAACCAAGCGCAGAAGTCAGATCGAGTACGATAAACGAAAAGCTTCGATGACTCAATGAACATCTGAAACACCTCATTTCAGATTGTTAAAATCCTGTATATCACAATAATAATTCATAAACGGAAACAAGACTAAGAAACCTGATCAGGTCGCTAGAAAGCTCAATCTCCGCTCCTATAATGACGTTAGGGTTTCGCGGATTGTTAAAATCTGAGTTGGCGGGAATTAGAAGACGAGGAAGAAACAGCTAGTGAGAGTGAGAATCTAACAGTGAAGTTCATATTTGTACTTTATTTATAGGCAACGGAAAACATTCGACTGTCTACGCTGCACAGCCTATGCTGCCCTAAGGCCTCCTCCCTGTTTGACACGTTAATTCATAAACTATGAGCGAGAGCTTTGGCCCTGGCCAGGCCATGATGGTGGATGTCCAACTTGGGCAGGCCCAACCCGAACCCGGACCGACCCAACCCGCAATTTTATACGGGATGGGCTTGCATTTTGGGTCCTTGAGCTGGGCCTGGGCCCAAAAGTTTATGCTTTTTTATTTTCTGAGCCAGGCCCGAGCCTAGCTCTTAGGTAGTTCAAGCCCAATTCTACCTTATCCTAAGCCGAGCCCAACACGCATATGTGCATATTTGCGTTTCTTTTGGGAAATCATAAAAATATATGCATACATTTATATTGAATTCTTGCGTGGATTGATTGACCAACTTGAGCCCGGCCCAGGCCCGAGCCCAACCCAAGTCTATACAAATTTCAATTGAGGCTGAGTCTAGGTTAGACAGTTTGGGCTTGACCTCAGGCTCAAGCCTTAGACCCAATTCTTAGTGTTGGGCCTGGTTTGAACTTAAACCCTGGACAGCCTATTTGACTTACATCCCTAATATTAAGCCACTTCGTCCAACATTCATAAAATTAACGAAAAAACAAGGAGATGCTGCCTTGTCATCCACACTGAAAGTTTTTTTCACCTTCAGCATCACCGTTACTTTGGCATCGAGTACAAATGGTCCAACATGTCATGTAAAAGTACATATAAGCATTTCTTTAAGCACAAAAACAAAGGCTCAGTTTGGAAGCAGTACAAATACAAATTTGTAGAGTGAAAAACCTTATATTTTGTATTTATTTGTATTGTAAATATTTGTATTTGTACTCCTTCCAAACTCGGTACAGGAATGAATATTTGTGATACATTACATCTCGATGTTAATCAATCACATTAAATATTAAAACGTTTTTTAATGATTTTTATTGATTCGCATTTACAGGGTGTATGCAAGGTTCAAAGTATCGACACGTATCGGCCAATATGTATCGTTATGGGATCCCTCCGATACGCCCCTATAGTGGGTGTATCGGGGGTCTGACCGGTTCAGTGTGTGGAGGCGACCTAAACTAGGACTGTTCACGGGTCGGGTTGAGTCGGTTTACTAATGTTTTTCCAACCAACCCGACCTGGTCGGGTTACCTAAAACTGAAACCGAAACCGACCCTGTGTTAAGCAAAACCGACCTGATCGGTTTGGGTCGGTTTCGGCTCTACTTAGTGGTGACTTAGTTGCTGTAAAGTTAGGTTGTAATTAGGATAGAGACAACTTAGTTAAGTAGGAAGTAAGTAGGTTGTAACTACTAACTAGGAACTAACTACTAAGTCGATTCAGTTCAGGTTGATTTCAGTTTTCACACATGAAAACTGAAACCGAACCGAATCACCGGTTTATGATTTTTTATAACCCGAAACTGATCGGTGTTGAAAAAAACCTGGCCGACTCGAGTTGGGTCGGTCTGAGTTGGTCGGTTTGATCGGGTTGGGTCTTCTTATGAACAGCCCTAACCTAACTGCCCCCCACCCCTGAACCTATTTCGAAAAAAAATAAAAAAAAAAGTAAAAAAAAAGGGTATCGATTTGCCCAATACGCCCCTACCGGTGTATCGGACGTATCGATATTTTGAACCTTGGGTGTATGTACTTACTAATCATATTAAACATTTTAACAACAAATATATCAACCCTAATATATCACATTGTCATTGATTCGCATTTCTTTGCTTCACGGTACAATATATGCACTACAGACAGCATTTGCTAAAAAAATATGATTTTGTATGACTTCAATTTTCCATACCAACCAAGGATGATGTATAGGGGGGCAACTTCGGCAGATTGGACTGAGTTAAGCAACCCAACTCAACTTCGGTTCATGCAAAACTCGATTTACAAGCCACTTCTGAGATTTTAAACACAGGGTTTTTTGGTTGGTTTTTGAATTTTGACTATGTAAAAACCTAAAGCCGACCTATATACAGAATTGGTCCTTGAAAGCTTGAACAAGTCACTTGCTTCAGCTATTAGTATCTCAGCAGTTCTGTTCTACGGTTAAACCCAAATTGCATGGCTTTAGGCTAACAAAGGGTTTTCTATTTTTTCGATGGTAAAGGTTTCCTACCAAGTTTTCGGCCTGAATAGCGCAATGACTTAAATCTTAGGGCCTTTTTGATTTATGAGAATAAGGGTCTAGAATCAGAATCAGAACCAACTGTTTGGTTGAGGAAACAGCCATTCCCTCCTCCCCACCCCCACCCCAACCCCGAGCTGATTCAAAATTCCCATCTGAATCAAACAGGCTATGGAAAAAGATTATTCTGATACTAACTCCGATTCCGATTCTAGAAATGAACCAAACGGACCCTTAGATATTCTTCTCCCTACCTCAATTATTTATGGGAAGAGATGAATATCATGGGTCCTCAGAGACCCACAAACAAAACAAGATTCTAGAAAATACATGATTTGGTTTACAGTTTACACATCATCTATACATGATCCATTTCCAGTTGGCGTATTGCCAATGTGTTGGGTATTTTGACCCAAATCATGGACCTGCAATCAGTGGGTCCCCTAGCCTCTATAGAGAAGTGAATTCCTCACCAACAACTGTTACATTCCTATTGGCTATTACAGTAACACCCTTGGAAAAATAACAAAAAGAAGCTCCTTGAAGTGAAGAATCTATTCATATGTATGATCTCAGCAATTAATAAGTCTACAAGTATAATATCAAAATCAAGTGTCAAACAAACAAACAGAACCACCAGGGGAACGTCGCATCCCTCCCTTTCCTTGTGCATGGCATAAATGGCACTAGGAAACAATCAGCCACCACGAGCTTCTCTCCTTGTCGCATCGTGAAGCAGATCGATATCAACTCCGTCTGGAGGTAGTTGAACATATCTAACCACCGATCCCCTTATGAAGCAGTTTCTTACTGAAAGCTGTGAAATGAGATACCAAACATAATCAAACTTCACCCAATACAGCTGGCAGAGATTGGTAAGACAAAGAAACAAAAATACCCAAACTTCAAGTGCAATGAAGTGACATACTTCGCGTAGGATTCAAATTTGGGAATCAAATAGTAGTCTTGTAATCTAAACAAATCCATGCTTCTCAACCCGAGTCTATCGAATCTAGTCTGCTAAACTCAACCAGTTTTCCATGTAAAGACAGGTAGACAAGGGTAGCACTTGATCTACATCCAAGGCAATATGTTACCTCTTAATTTTGTTCCCTTTTTCTTCTTTTCCTATTTTTAGTGTGGGGGCACAACTGTTTAGTTAGGTGCTAGTTTATGGCATTATATACCCATTGCCCGCCACTGAAATACATTTATGAGACTTTCTATTTCCCAAAGAAATGACACTTCAAATCAAAACTCTGTATCACATCAGCTATATATGCATGCATGATTGAATACATAGATGTAAATAGATAATGTTAGACAGTTTTGTATGCCCTTAGCTTCAATCAGAATGATGTACTTTATGAGTTTATTGTAAATAAATAAAAGTGCATATTTGATTCATGTTCCCTTGGTATATTTTTGTGTAATACCCTTAAATTGGACACTTAATGAAACTCGTGTTAGTTTAGAATGTTCACAGCCAGTGGATCGGTCTGGGGAGACCTATCCTGACAAGGCTGACACTGTGGTGCCACCAAGTCAATTGGGGTGGCCTGTCTCAACTGCCAGGGTGAGACCCTAGGCACATACAGTGTAAGATTAATTGAATCTTTGAACTGGACCAGATTTTCAGTATTGCCCTGGACTTTGGAGATTGATGGGCAAAACTAGAAAGTTACACCCAACCCCTAGACTCGATTATGATACTGCACTAGGTGTCGGATTGGGCTGTCTTTGATATACCATTCAGTGAGATCCTTAGCG